AAAATACCGAATATTGGGATGTACCGTTATATACGAAGATGTGGATCTGCACAGACAATTTTCTGTTAATACACTGTGCGATAAAAAAAATGCAACAAAGTCAAATGCCATATTTTTTAATTTTTTTTAAATTTTATTGAATGAAAGCAAAAATGTCGGAAATAGCATCAAATTTTAGAATAAGTTTAGATTGGTTCGAATTGGTCACCTTTGGCGCGAATTATGGCTTTCACCAATGGCCAACGGCCAATGAAACCATCACACGCTGTCCGAATGTTGCCCTGTGGTATTTTGACCTATTCCGGCGAAGCGCTTGCTTGAGGTGATCGACACTTTGGTATTTTTTAGTGCCAACCTTGCTTTCCAAAATACTCCAGACACAATATTCCAAAGGATTGGTATCCGGAGATTTTGTGGCCATTGTGAGCTGGAAGTGAAGCGAGGAACCTCATTTTGTAACCATTCTTGGGTGGCGCGTGCTGAGTGCGATGGAGGTGAGTCCTGTTGAAATGTCAAAGGTCTGCGGCCAAAATGTTTGCGTGCCCCAGGCTTTACGCACCCTTCAGAATATTTTCGTGATAATATTCGGCATTTATTCTGATGCCTTGGTCGATTAATACGAGCGGAGAGTGGCCATCGGCTGTTATGGTGGCCCACACCATCAACATGGCCGGCGCTTGATTTCTGGTGGCCATTTTTCGGCCACTGCGACGCGGGCTTCGTTCAATTCGCTTCTTTTCGAGCCATTTCTGTTGATGTTGCTGTTTTCTTCCGTCCTGTAGCTGTAGTTTCCATTACGAACTTCAAAATCCAGATTTGAAACAATGCCGTGAATAATGTCGCTTAAATCACCAAAATACCGAAAATAGGAAGGTACCATTTTCACACCTGACCTAGCACTGATGCAAATATTGGGATATGCAAAGTTGGAGCAAAATCGGATTATCCTTTCTCTTACTGTGCAATAAATTATTATTTTTGAAAATTTCGACATTTTGTGGGGGAGGTACCAGAGGGCATCGGTCCACTCCCCGATCTCCGAACTCGATCTAAGTTTGATTATAATATTACGATGTACCAAATTTGGACCAAATCGAATACTCCGTTCGAGAGTTATCTTGCCAGCCAGACGGACAGACATCGCTAGGTCGACTCCAAATGTCCTGAAACGGATTTGGTCCAAAAAGACCTAGGGTCTCAAAAAAGTTATTTCGATGAGGCACGTTTTGGTCGTATCAAGTAATATATATCCTCTCTATCCATATGACTGAGGGTTTAAAAATGCTACAGATAATTGTGGAAACATTCACTGTACATATGACGCTAACCTCATGTGTAATCTAGCCTTCATATAACTATTTTAAACCAAGACGTCCAGAGCCCGCTTTCCATGGCCAATCCGGTTTGCTTAGACCAAGAAACAAGCATAGAAAGGGTGTGTTTTCATGTCTTTCTGAATTTTTTCCGTAATTTATTTTTGTTAATCGGTCACTCCCAGACTGTAACATAAATCTCAGAATCGACAGACTTGGGTTATTTACCTCCGTAAACCATTTGCTGGAAGAAAAAACAAAAACCACATAATTTGAAAAGTATTTTCTTCAACGGCAGACAACAAATTAGTTAAAGCCAAATAGTTTGCCCTCTTTGACTCAGTCTTAATTAAAAACAATTGAAATAATATTCGTCTGTGTTCCAACTCTTGACGTGGAGCATAGCACGTCGGAGACAAGTATTTAATAAGAACTGAACTAATAGAAAACATACAATGCGGACTTACAATTCTCATATAGTCGTTAATGTTCTGGCTTTCCTTAGACCGAGACGGAGCTCTGATGATGATGATGACAATGACTCACTCGACCAAGACGTGGTGCTCGAATAATGACTTCATGGTTTTTGTTTTTGGGGAGGATTGGTTGTCTGACTTGCCTAGCGCAGCAATGCTTAAAGATTTAAATACCACAACGAGCAATTAAATCAATTATTTGCTGCCATAATTTTATAGTTTGTCTTTTTGGGTTTTGCTCTCTGATGTATATGATTATGTAGTACGGTATTCCAAGAATTCGAAAAAAGGATGGAAGCAATGTTATTTGGCGTATGGAAATGTAATTAATGGTTGGAAATTTTATGGTGCTAATGAAGAAGTGCTCAAATATTAAAATATACTATAACAGGGTGCACCGGCCAGGAAGGATCATCAATCGTGCATTTTTAAGAATCTTTTAAAGGACCATCGAAACCATAATTGTAGATTTCTTAAATAATATTTTAAAGGTCCTTCAAATTCATAAACGTTGATGTTTTATAAAGTTTTTGGAGGACCATCATAGCCATTGTCTTTGATTTTTTTTAAGAATTTTTTGAAAAACCATCTGAGCCAAAATAATGGATTTTTAATAGACCATCAGGGATACAATCCTGGATTTTTCAAAGAATTTTGGGCATCAGAGTTATAATCGTGAATTTTATAAAGATTTTTTTTTTGAAGGTCTATCAGAGCTATAATCCTGAATTTTTTAACGAACTATCATTTTTTAAGAAAGGATCGTCAGATCCTAAACCGTGAATTTTTAAACAAAGTTTAAAAGTAAAATTGATAGGGCGATCGGAGCCTTAAACGTGGATTTCAAAAAAATGTTTTGAGGGATCGTGAGAGCCTTAAACGTGGATTTTTAAAGATTTTTTTGGAAGGATAATCGTGTGTTTTTAAAGGATTCTTTGCAAGGATCTACAGAGCCTTAAACGTGGATTTTTAAAGATTTTTTGGAAGGATATTCGTGTGTTTTTAAAGTATTCTTTGAAAGGATCATTAGAGCCTTAAACGTGGAGTTTTAAAGATTTTTTGGAAGCATTTTCAGAGCCTTAAACGTGGATTTTTTAAAGATTTTTTTGGAAGCATTTTCAGAGCCTTAAACGTGGATTTTTTAAAGATTTTTTGGAAGCATTTTCAGAGTCTTAAACGTGGATTTTTTAAAGATTTTTTTTGGAAGCATTTTCAGAGCCTTAAACGTGGATTTTTTAAAGATTTCTTTGGAAGCATTTTCAGAGCCTTAAACGCGGATTTTTTAAAGATTTTTTTGGAAGCATTTTCAGAGCCTTAAACGTGGATTTTTTGGAAGCATTGTCAGAGCCTTAAACGTGGATTTAAAAAAAAACTTGGATTTTCAAAGATTTTTTTTTTTTTGAAAGGATTGTCGGAGCCTTAAACTTCGATTTTCAACGATTTTTTTGGAAGGATTGTCAGAGTCATAATCGTGGATTGTTTGAAGAATTTTTCGGAAGGATCGTTAGAGCCTTAAACTAGGATTTTTAATTTTTTTGTAAATTTTTTAAATAATTTTTTAAGGACTATCGGGGCCATAATCGCGCATTTTTTAAATATTATTTTTTAAGGACTATCGGAGCTATAATCGTGTATGTTTTAAATAATTTTTGAAAGACTATCGAAGCCATAATCGTGTATGTTTTAAATAATTTTTGAAGGACTATCGGAGTCATAATCGTGCAAATCCTGGATTTTTAAATATTATTTTGAATGACTATCGGAGCCATAATCGTGCATGTTTTAAAGAATTTTTAAAAATGATCGTCAAAGTCCAAATCGTGGATTTTTTAAATAATTTTTTGAAGGACTATTGGAGAAATAATCGCGCATTTTTAAAATATTTCTTAAGGACTATCGGAGCTATAATCGTAAATTTTTTAAAGAATTTTTTAAGGACTATCGGAGCTATAATCGTGATTTTTTTAAATAATGTTTGAAGGGCTATCAGAGCCATAATCGTTGATTTTTTAAATAAATTTTTAAAGGACTATCGGATCCATAATCGTGGATTTTTTAAATAATTTTTGAAGGACTATCGGAGTTATAATCGTGGATTTTTTAAATAATTTTTGAAGGACTATCGGAGTTATAATCGTGCATTTTTTAATTAATTTTTCGTAACAAATATCTTAGCCATAATCGTGGATTTTTTAAATAATTTTTGAAGGACTACCGGAGCCATAATCGTGTATTTTTTAAATAATTTTTTGAAAGGGCTATTGGAGCCATAATCGTGGATTTTTTAAATAATTTTTCGGAAGGACTATCGGAGCCATAATCGTGTATTTTTTAAATAATTTTTTTGAAAGGGCTATTGGAGCCATAATCGTGGATTTTTTAAATATTTTTTAAAGGACTATCGGAGCCATAATCGTGGATATTTTAAATAAATTTTTGAAAGACTATCGGAGCCATAATCATGAATTTTTTAAATAATTTTTTTGAAGGACTATCGGAGCCATAATCGTGCATTTTTTAAATATTTTTTCGGAACAAATATCGGAACCATAATCGTGGATTTTTTAAATAATTTTTTAAGGACTACCGGAGCCATAATCGTGTATGTTTAAAGAATTTTTGGAACGGATCATAAAAGTCCAAATAGTAGATTTTTAAACAAAAATGTTGAAGGATTATCAGAGTCCAAATCGTGGATTTTTAACAAAAATTTTGAAGGAAATCTAGAATTTTGTGAGGGCCATCATAATCTTTGATTTTTTAAAGAATCGTGTTTTTTGTGGATTTTTTTGAAGGACCATCAGAGCCGTAATTCTAGATTTTCAAGGTATTGTTTGAAAGGTTCATCAGAATCATAATCGTATATTTTTCAGAATTTTTTGAAGGACCATCTTACTTCTGGATTTTTTTTAAAACATTTTCCAAGGCTTTTCAATAGGTCTCCTATCCAAAAGCGACCTTCGATTGGTCTCTACATTAAAACTTTTCCATACGTCGTTTTTATTGCTATTGTTTAGAGCAACTCTAATTAATTTATTTTATTTTATTGATTACCTCTTCCATTTCGGGCTATTCCACAATTAACACAATATCCTAAAAAAGTCTAAACATTTTTAGAATCCCCCTTTTTAATCTTTCTCCCAATTCTAAATATACTAAACGAAAAAAACGCATTTCCAAATGACATCACTCCATCTCTTTCTCGTTACAGATTCCAGATTGCCATTGAAGTGATGACATCCCACAAATAAACGCTGTAGGAGGCCACAGAGAAATGAAGGCAGTCGCAGCAGTAGCATCATAAACACAACGCCTATCAATGAGACAACATCTCTAATCTACAAATCCGAAGTACAATATATTAAGCGTATTTTTTCCATTTAAGAAAAAAATAAATAAATATTTGTGATAAAAAAAAATAAATGGAATAAAAATAAAATACACACAAAATAAAAAAAAATAAATTGAAATTTCTTTAAAATTGCAAATCAAAATATTTACTTGGCAAATTATATAAATGTGTGAAAATAATATTCATATTCAAAAAATTAAAAAAAAAGAAATTCCACTCTCAACGGTTTCCATGATTTCATATATGGCTGCTGCTACTACCACCAACAGCCCAAAATATTGATCATCAACATCATCTTTCTCTGTTAACAACTCAGTGCTAATTGTGTCAATAAGTGTCATGCATTGAAATCGACAACAAATTTAAATATATATACACATATGTTTGTATGTATATAGCATACTACAAAAAATAACAGAAACGAATTGAAAACAATCCATTCGAAGCTCCAGTTATTAAATATAATAATCATCAACAACAAAAACAACAGCAGCAGCAACAACAACAGCGACCGCCAACAAAAATGGATTTGGATATTATACAATCTACCAAAGAAGGCGAAATCACCCAGTTTCTTTGTGGTAAGTGTACAGTGTATAGCTGCTACTTGAAGTGATTTCAATATTGGATTATTCCCTCACACGCACACACACAGACACCCACATTCTTGAATGTATGTAAACATACATAATTTTAGGGGGCAACATGTTGGTCTTTCAGACGTTTTAGTTTTTAAACAAACTATTTTTATAAACCGCCCCATTAGCACCTCGTTTTAATCCATTTAATTCACACCATTAAAACTACTCAAATAAACATTACAAAAAAGAAAAGATTCAATGTTTATAGTTAAAATAAATATTTAAATAAATTACAAATCTGCATGGTTATTAACCCTTGAATTTGAAAAAAAAATCACAGAAGGTCATCACTTATATTTAGTTCTAAATAACATGACCGGAAATTATTGTTCAAATTAAGATTACATATCGAGTTTAAAAATGAATTATAAATTTATTGATTTCAATTTTTCAAGTCTGAGAGAAAAAATGAAAACACTACAGTCGTAAATTTTTAAAAATTGTTAAGGGTGATTGGAACGTTATTTTTTTGTTGGGTACCTGAGAGGATTTTCAGATTTTCAATCGTGGATTTCTTAAGAAGTTTTTGAAGGATGGTTAGAGAAATATAGGTGGATTTTTTAAAGAACCTTTTGGAAAAATCATCAGAGCTTTAAGAGCTTTAATCGTGGATTTTATATAGAGTTTTTTGAAGGACTATCAGAGTTATAGTCGTGGGTTTTTTGAAGTATTATCAGAGCTATAATCGTAGACTTTTTGAAGGAGTATTAGAGCCATAGTCATGGATTTTTTGAATAATTTTTTTTAAAGAATCTTCAGAGCCTAAATCGTGAATTTTTAAACAAAATTTTGAAAGACCAACAAAACCGTAATCGTCGATTTAAATAAAAATGAAGGAGCCGTCAGAGCCGTAAACGTGGATTTAAAAAAAAGTTTAATGGGATCGTCAGACCCTTAAATGAGGATTTTTTTGGAAAAATTTTCAGAGGCATTATCGTAAATTTTTTAAAGAATTCTTTAGAAGGATCGTCAGAGCCTTAAACGTGGGTTTTTAAAGATTTTTTTGTAAGAATTGTCGGAGCCTAAAACATGAAGTTTTTAAAGAATTTTTTGAAATGATTGTGAGAGCGTTAATCGTGGATTTTTAAAGAATTTCTTGTAAGAATCGTCAGAGCCTTTAACGTGGGTTTTTAAAGAATTTTTTTGAAAGGATTGTCGGAGCCTTTAAAGAACTTGGACTTTTTAAAGAATTTTTTGGAAGGATTGTGAGATTCTTAATCGTGGATTTTTAAAGATTTTTTTTTTTTTGGATGGATCATCGGAGCAATAATCGTAGATTTCTTGAGAATTTTTTGAAAGACCGTCAGAACCAGAATCGTGGATTTTTAAAAGAATTTTTTGAAACACCGCCAGAGCCATAATCGTGGATGTTTTATAATTTCTGGAAGGATCTTCAAAGCCTTAATCGTGGATGTCATAATCGTGGATGTTGTAAATAATTTTTGGAAGTATCATCAGAGCCATAATCGTGGACTTTTTAAAGAATTTATCGTGGACTTTTATAAGCATTTTTGAAGTATCAACAGAGCCATAATCGTGGGTAGTTTAAAGAATTTTTTTTAGAGGATCTTCAAAGCCATAATCCATTTGGAAGGATCTTCAAAGATTTTTTGGAAGGATTTTCAGAGACATAATCGTGGATTTTTAGAAGATTTTTTTGAAAGACCGTCAAGGCCATTATCGCGAATTTTTAAGACATGTTTGTAAGGATCATAAAGGTCATAATCGTGGAGTTTGTAAAGATTATTGGAAGGATCATCAGAGCCTTCATCGAGGATTTTTAAAGGATAATCAGAAGCATTTTGTGTAGGACCATTAGAGCTATAATCCGGATTTTTTAAGGATTTTTTTCGGAAGGATCATCGGAGCAATAATCCTAGATTTTTTGAGAATTTTTAGAAGGATAATCAGAGCCACAATCGTAAATTGTTTAAATAATTTTTTGAAAGACCGTCAGAATCAAAGAATTTTTGAAAGTCCGTCAAAGCCATAACCTTGCTTGTTTTTAAAGACATTTTTAAAGGAGAATTTTAGGGCTCATCAGAAACATATTCATGGATTTTGTTTAAGATTTATTTTTTGGGTGAAGAACCATCAGTGTTATATTTATAGATTTTTATGATCTCCATCATAGTATGGATGGCATATTAGGTTTGTCATTCCGTTTGTAACACCTCGAGGTATATACTTTTAACCCCACAAAGTATATATATTCTTGATCAGCATAAAATTCTATGACGGCTTAGCGATGCCCGTCCGTCTGTTTGAAATGAAAAAAGTTGATTAAATTTTACTCAGATGTATTTTAGGTCTGTAGAACATTTGGTATTGAAAATGGGTCTACGATTTGGGAGTATGTGTTCCCAGTAAGTAGGAAACATCAATGTAGAGAAGTATGTAAGTCCAGGTTTTGGTATAGGCCTATATAACTGTACCTCCAGATATATAAAATTTTTTGATTATTAGTGGCAGTTTTCACCGAAATTGTAAAAAGTTTGGTATTTAGAGGTCGTAATAGGTACTAAAATCTATGACAGAAAATGTTTCTGTACAGGTCTACCAATTAGCCTTATATAAACGTTAAACCTAATATTCGGAGTTTTTACCAGATTTTTTTTACATTTTGTTCCTTCCAAATGGAGGAGGGTATTATACTTACATTTGACTTGTTAAGATTTTTTTATATAAAAACTTTGTTGGAATCTTCATATGTCTTCATATATAAGTAATTTTACCGACTACTTCAGATTTTTTATTTATTGAAGATTTTGGACATATTTTTCTAACAATTTATCAATAGTTTAAATATTTCCCCTTACATTCTTAATATAAAAAATTTTCTATAATTATTTATTTCATTAGATGGGCATTTATATAATTTTTAAAGAATTCCTTCATCACATCTTTCCATTGCGAAAAAAACAAGAGAATCCAATTTGTCGGCTTTCTTCTTAAACACAAGAATCTGGTCATTTCTTAATAATAATTCACAGTCCAATTATGGTGAGTGAGTGGACATTTGGCCACAAAGCAAACCAAAACAAGCCCTACAACTATGGCTGGAGTAGTAGTGTTGTGGTTTATGATGATGGCGACGAACGACGACGATGATGATCACTTTTGATAATTACATGTTTCGGTTTATTATTCGACTACATGTATCACATCATTAACTTGGCTAGCTAGGAAAAAAAAAGCGGGTAGCTACTAAGTAAGTAAGCGGGCGACGAGTAAGCGACTTAGTGGGAAACAAAGAAATAGTTAAAAAGAAAACTTAAAAAGAATGAGGAAGACAACGACCACCATCCACCGCCAGCCATCATCATCATCATCAGCGCCAACATCATCGCGTTATGGTTTACTGAGTTTTATAGCGGTTTAAGTTGCTTTTAATTTGTTGCCACTCTATGTCGTTTCAAGTCAAACGTTTTTTTCTCTTCTTTCAAATGAATCTCCACTTTAGAAAAGTCTAAGTCTGTCCCTTGCCCTGCCCGCGTGTGGACATTGTCATTAGGAGGGTATTCCTCTAACACAATAAATGTTTGCCAAGCATTGCTTTTTTTTTGTTTTGGTAAAAGCGGCAGTTCTTTAATTGTTGCTGAGGTTCCTAAAGCCAGACTTTCTTGGAGGGGATTTGTTGTTGTTGCTGTTGTTTAAAAAGAAATCATCACTTCATTTTGAACTTTGCCATGATGTTGGTGGCCCCCCCAATCTAAAGAAAGAAATTTATGTTGGTTTTAATTTTTGCAGCCACTTAAAAGCGATGTACTAGACAATTTAATGTGGGGGGTTATAAAAGATAGTGGTGTAATCGTGGTAACATGAAAGAGGTGGGCACAAATTCGAAATTTTAAGAAAACATGGCGAGGCCTATTAATTTGAGAACTTGAGACGCCCAACTAAATATCATCCAACAAACAGCCCTAAGAAGTTAAACCCACATGGCTTGGGTCAGTTTAAAAAAATTGATATTTTTTAGTTTTAAATTTTGTAATTCGTTCCAACAGTTTGTGTTAGGCCTCTATAGCTCTCTTTTCTTTATAGAAAAGAATAACAAGAAATTGTTTTTCTTTTACCCAAAATGTCTTCAAAATCTTTCATTTTGAAGTTTACCGAGGAAGATATTATCAAAACCATTGAACAATTAACCCACATCCAATTTTCTTTCCAAAACTATTTCAAGGCCTCCATATCAAAAGCCTAAAAACCGTGAAATTTCAGGATTTCAGATCTGTAATTTCCTTCATTCCCAAATTTAGTACAATTAGAGTACGCATATCCACAATAATCTCCATATCTCCACCTCAGGGACCAACCGTGACCTAAATATCAAATTTCAGGATTCCAGCCCTATCGCTGTACCTCGTATCACATTTAGTACCATTTGGGACTTTTCGTACAAATATAAGACGCATTTCCAAACCCACATCAAACCCCAAACTCAGGTACCTCAAACATTTAAATATAAAATTTCAGGATTTCAACTCTATTCCTTCACCCAATACCATTCCCAAATTTAGTACTGTTTAATACAAGTATAGTACGCATATCCAAAAGAATCTCCACCTCAGATATCAACAAAGACTTCAACATCAAATTTCGGGATTCTAGACCTATCCCTTCACCCAATATCACATTTAGTACTTTTCGTACAAATACAGAACGCATTTCCACACCACCATCAAACCTCAAATTGAGATACCATCAGTAATCTAAATATCAAATTTCAGGATTTCACCTCTATTACATCACCTAATACCAATTATAGTACCATTCAGTACTTTTCGTACAATTATAGTACGACTTTTCGAAACCCCCTCCAAATCCCTAACACACACATTCATTAATCTAAATATCAATTTTAAGAATTTTGTCTCTATTCCTTCACTCAATACCAAGTACCATTCAGTACTTTTCGTACAATTATCGTACGAATTTCC